AAATTACTCAGACGCCACCCCCCAGGTTGTATCAATTCACTGACCCCCTCACCTACCTGCCCCTGCCTCCTCTCCCCCAAGCCAATTTCATGGCAAGCTATTTCCCAGCATGACTGCAGTCTGTGTGTTTCTCTCCTTTTCCTGACTACAGTCAACATCCTGTTAGCAGGAAGCTTAAAAAAAAAAAAAAAGGCCAGGGTTCATCGCCAAGTGGATTCTCCTTCCTGAATGTGGAAGAGGGAGGTTGTGGGGTACCCCGAAGGCTTTTCTGCCCACTGTCCTCTGGGACTGGAAGTATTAGGGCCTGTTCACAAGCACATTGAAGCTCAAGAGACCCTGGACTGGAGTAGGCACAGCCCACACCATCTCTAAAGGTAGAAGCCAGCTCATCCAATGTCCCTGGGACTTGGAGTACTGTCACCACCCTTCACCCTGGAAATTACGAATTTACTCACATCTGTAGATGGGAGATTGCGAATCTCCCAATTTTCCCGAGAAGCTAACATCCATACCCTCTGACACAGAGTAATCAGCAGACAGCCAGAGGCGAGAGCTGGAGGAGCAGAGAAGAGGCCTCCCCCTGCCAGAACCGTCCCTGCAGCAGACATCTCATATAAGGGGTGCCATCTACATTCCAGTGCCCCACACCCAGTGAAAGGTGAAAGGCCCATCGCACTTTCTTGCTGGAAAGTGCTACACCCAAGTCTCATCTTCTTAGAAAGACAGTCAGTGCTGGAGTTTGGCACCAGGGAGTGCTGAGGAAGGGCGATTCCACAGAACACAGACATTAGAGCTGTGCGCAGGCCCGTGCTGTAGGTGAGGCCTAGGAAATGCTGAGTACCAGCCTGGACCCTGTCTGGGGTCCCCCAGGAAGGAGGGAGCCGGCTTTCTCTTCCCACAAACAGAGTGAGGGGCTGGAGTGGTCAACTAATCTTCCCCAGCCATCAATCAAAAAGAAGTTGGGGGGCACGGGGTGGGGCAGACCATCACTAGAAAGGGGAGGGGTGCCTGGTCTTAAATTCAATCAAATGTGCAAGAACAAGGACACTTATTAAGGGAGAAAAATGTTTCTTAGGTTAATGCTCAGTCTTAGCAGCCTGAGTCCTCCTGAGTGCCCAACCAATGCAGAGAGAAGCCAGATCATTTAACTTCTTTAAAATTCGAAGGTGTCCTCCCAGGGAGAGGAGTGCAATCTGCGTCTGGGGCCAACCCTTGCAGAAAGGGGAAGGGCAGGTCAGCCCCAGCAGGATCCTGCTCTCTCAGGCTGATCCCCAGGGTCAGGGAGGATGGGAAGCATCCTGACTCTGATACCACTCCTATATATCTTTCTCCTCAAAGATCCTTGTGTGACTTCACACACACTAAAAAAAAAAAAAAAAAAAAAATGGTGTCTGACCTCAAAGCACATCTCTGCTCTGTAAGCACCAAGGCATACAAAGCTAACAATTTTAAATGGAACCAGTATCAATATTTACAGATATTTAGTGCGTGACTAGAAACTATGGGGAAGAGCAATTTAGGAAAAGTTCAGCAAAATCAGGAAGTAGGCAAGAAGGCTGAGTAATAGCCACCATCCAATCCCCCCCCCCCCCCCCCCCCCCCCCCCCCCCGCTAGCAAGCGATGGCAACTCTGTATCCAGGGCTCAAAGGGGTGGGGACCCTCCATGGGGACCCTCCCACACACGCCTGCCCCTCAAGAGGGGGCGTCACTAGGGACTGTTACCACACCCCTTCTCACTTGCCTGGTTCCCCCCTATAAAATTCTACCAATATGGATTTTTACTATTGTATCTATCTTGGCCAGAGTATCAGGGAAAAGAGGAAAATATAACTATTTTGGAATTTCAGTAAGTTGTATCTCTTTGAATTGTTTCCTGTAGATTCAAGATTGCATTAATATTCTAGACCATGTCATGCCACTCAGCTCTTATTAAACAGGCACTCCACCCAGCTACATTTCTTTTTTATCTACGTTTGTAAAATGGTAAACTCCTTGAAGCTATTTCAGCTGTAGTCTTTGTACATAAAACAATATTTTAACAAAATTCATATTCATTATAATTGCTTTAAAGATGTGCAAGCATACACACATTGGTCATTTAATCCTTGTTTACCCTTAGGACACTTGAGTAATTGGCATAATAACTTGAAAGGCAAATCAAATTTCATTAATGCTTTCCAAGTACTTCAAAAATCTCAAGTCAATGAATGTTTTGGGAAGTACTCCTATCAGGAGGAAAACACACAGGGAAACATTTTACCATTTAGTTCCTGGAAAGGTTTTTTTGATTTATTTATTTATTGAGTCTCAGGAAACTGTTGGTTTTGATTCTTCTAGAAAATAAGACTGCCTGAGGAAACTGCTAGAGGAGTTTAATATGGTTTGCGAGGTGAGCTCTGGATATATTAAGAGCTACAGTTCAAAGAATGAACTACCCAGACCCTGTAACACACAGGACTGTCTCAGATGTTGATAAGGTACAAGCACAGCTCAGCCCCCAAGCTGCTTACAGGTCTGCTGGGAGGGACCATTCACGCCCCCATCGGAAGTGGGCCTTCAGCACAGGGAGGTGTTAAAAACTCATCTAAATACATGACAGTCCAGTGCGAAACCGAAAGCACCAAGGTGACTTCAAGACTAGTACCAAATGTTGAATAAATATCGATTGACTGAAAAGCTCAATAAGCCTCTGTAAGGAAGAGAAAGATAAAGAAGAGGGCTACATTCTTATGTTAAAATAAAATTTAAGAGTTAAAAAGGAAAAGACATAGGAAAGACTAGGAGTAGGAGTTCAGGGAGAGATCAAACATGACCAAGAGTGGTCAAAGAAGATTCTAGGGAAAAGGTAAGAACCAGAGCAAGGCCACGGAGGAGTGGCTGATTCAGACTTGCAAAAAAAAAAAAACGGGGGGCGGGGGGGGGGGGCACAGGAGGACCCTAGCAAGTGAGGGCACAGTGGGACCATGCATCAGGTGTGATCAAGGTCAGCCAACTAACCAGTTACAATGTTGGACAATACATGTCTTGCCCTCTCTAAACATTCAAGGAGGTTGTCCTATGTCCTGGGCCCATTCACATCCTCATCATCTCATTTAAAAATTAGCAGAAGCAGACTCAACGAGCACTCACAAAAACTCAGACTACAGCAAAGAGAACTGGAGGGCTAAGGCAGATGTTTCTGCCTTCCAGAGTCCACAGAGGCATCACTTCCTTTCCCTGAAGCAGTGACATTCCCAAAGCTGGGTGACAATGGTGTCTCCCGGGCTCTATCCTAAAAAAGGCAAGCAGGGAGCACAATATCCCCAAGCAAAAGAGCCTCCTGTCCTCAGGATGAGCAGCATCTGCTTTTTCTTGTTGGTATACAAAGTACTAGCTAAATAAAGAAGCCCTGGGTTGATATCAACTTATCTTCAATTTACCTCCAGCTAAAACCACCTTAATTGGCTTGACTGTTTTAACTAAAATGAGCAATTTAAAACAGTGGGCCAACGAGCTCCAACAGTAAGAAGAATAAACACACCTTGCTGTGTGTTTGCCTGTTTGCTTTTCTAGTAAATATTCAACAATATATTTATAGGAGTTAAGTGATCGTTTTCCCTCTGTATGAGTACCAGTATAGTGATTAAATGGTTCCCATTGGGAAATGCCGGGCTTGCTGGCAAGTCAGCCTTCAGACTCTTTCAAAAGAGCATTACCTTGCATCCTTCATGGAGCTAGATGGGAGAGATAGTATTTCTATTTAATCATCTGCTCACCACAAAGGGAAGCCACACTAACTTTAGCAGGAAAAGTGTGTGCATTAAATTACTTCTGAAGCTCCCTGAAGAGTAAGGCTTGTAGGTTTGCATTACATCTGCATTACAATTAAGTAATAATGAAAGAGAAATCATGTCTTTTGATCAAATAATGCATTAATCCTACCATATAACAGGTATCGTTGTTCACTCTCCAGGTTATGCTGACTTTTGGGGGTGACTGTGTTGGGAAGATCTCCTGCAGAAGGGAAAGGCTATCCACTCCAGTATTCTGACCTGGAGAATTCCATGGACTATACAGTCCATGGGGTCGCAAAGAGTCGGACACGACTAAGCGACTTTCACTTTCTTCCTTATTCCACAGGACAGGACGCAGGCACAAAGTGAAGGAAAAGGGGGTGCATCTTGGAAGACAATGGCAATTAAGATGCCCTGGAAAGCTCTCAGGTGAGAATCAGTATTCACCACATCATCAAGGAAATCCTAGGTAGTTTTAATGGAAGGAGGGTCTAGTCATTTCTTAAGGTTCAGCATGGACAAAACATTTTCTGCAGAAAGTCTACATCCCTCACAAGCCCCCAGTTCATGCAGCCCACTACCTGAGCAGAGCGGATGCTGTTTAGGGCTTCAGACCACTTCAGACCAGAGTTCACCAAGCAATTAGCAGGATGGCGAGACTCTCCCGGGAGGCATTTGAGAACAAGTTTTTCAAGCACTTTAGAAGCATTTATATATACCTAACATGCCATTAATCATTCTTATCTGTTCATTAAGGCCGGCTCCCTCAGGACTTCCACCCGCCAGTTCTTACTCCTCCTGGTTCTTTTATCTACGTAGCTGAAAAGGAGTCTATTTCCTTTAAAACATATTTTATAATTAAAAGACTTCATTAATTCACAGGGGTGTGTTCCACCGATGAGTCGGCACTTTCAGAGTACTATTAAACATACACAGAGGCCATTCTCGGGAGGGTCTGCATAGAAGACAAACCATGCAACCACAGCTTGATTTAGGGATACATCGTCAACACTGGAGAGATTTTAGACCATTGTCATAGCATCATATAAACCTTCAGTCCCTATCGACACACAGGGCTTCCTTATGTCTCCTACTGCAAAGGGAGCAGGGTTTTCAATTCCACTGCAATCTACGTGATATAAACTACAGGCAGAAAGGAAATCAGATACTGTAACAATCAAAAGCAATGAGTTTTAAATGTCATGCCAGCTGTGACGTGACTATACCTCTGCCGGGGACTCTTCCACACCCACGTTCCATCCTCCGCTGGCTCCCAGGTTCATCCATCCCAGCGCAACAGGCAGGGAGGCTCCAAGCAGTGTGAGATGTAGCCAAAAGCCTCTTGGTCTCATTTTGTTGAGTCTGTTGAGAAAATGACAAATACTTAGCACTAAGCGCTGAAAAATGTAAACAAGTCAAGGGGTAGTTAGTGAGTGAGTACTTGCTCTCCAGAATCAGATAAACATTGAGTCTATATGCTGGCACCAGGTCTTCTGGTTTACCGTGGAGAAGTTACACTACTTTGGAGCCTTAGTTTACTCATCTCTAAAGTGGGCTCAACAATATGTACCCAAGAGGGCTGCTGTGAGGGCTGAAGGAGGCAGGGCTGGGCACACAGTAAAAGCTCTAAATGCTGACTGGTATGCAGAAACCCACTTGAAACACACCTGTCACCACATCTGTAAGAACAAATGAGGGTGGAAAGGCTGAGACACCACTGATAGGTTACCATGTGTCCATGCTTCAGTTTCTGCAGACAGCATTTGCAGTGGCGCACACAATAAACACGGATGAGAAGTCACGTTAAATCTGCAGCATTCCTGTTTGTAGCTGAGGACAAAGTTAACAAGATAGTGAACTTCAAAACATTAAGGGGTCTACTCTCTTCATTTCTGTTCTAAGACCAATCCTTTTTGTAGTAGAATTCAAGCATCCACCGGATAACAGGATTTCAGGAACATTTAAGATATTTTATGAGACTCTGTTTGGTATTGTCTAAAATACTAGAGGACAAGAAATGGGCAATTGAAAGTAATAAAAGAATTACATGGATGAAAAAAACACAAAGGATCAGTTGTAATAAAAATTCAACGTCCTAATATATGCTGGGCATTGTGTTAAGAGGACAAAGACACAGACTGGTGCGTTTGTCCAATTAGCTGTCCTTTTTAAGGTTTCCACTGTGAACATATTCCAGCCTTAATTTCAGTATCTCTGAGAAACACAGCCAGATAGAGCTCATCATGCAGTATTTACAACTCTGACCCAAGGAAACTTTAAGGGTTATTGATTTCTGTGAGCACCACACAATTTAGCGCTTAATTGCATGTGGTCCACACTGCCTCGTGCTCAGGGCTGCGGAGATGAAAACAGAGCGCGTTGGAGGCCAGCACCCCCTGTGAGTTGGCTCAGGGCTGGTCCAGAGAGGTGTCCGAGTCAGAGATGACGAGCTGCTTGAGAGACCTTACAGCCTGTTTGAAGGCTCCACCCATGCTCACCCCCAAAGCCAGCTTAGAAGGACCGCTGTGCTATACAAGGAGAGGGATCAAATAACCACCAGAGCTGCTGCCAGGGCTGCCAAACAAATACACTGCCTGCCACCTTCCAGGCTTCCTGTGGCTGCCTTCCACACCCCAATAAAGCTGCCATTCCAGACTTGCTTTATGTCCCCAACTTGAGACAGAAATACCCACAGCAATGAGGAGCCAGACTAAAACTTGTGGGCATGTAACACTGGCCTATGAGAGGCAAGGTTATAAGTTATGGCTATCTTTTAAGGGAAGTTTTTTCTTCTTTTTTAAGGAGTCCACAGGCTCCTACTCCTACCTATGTTTCTTCAGCCATTCATCTTGGACATCTGCAGGAAAAGCTGGAGCTACCGGGGAAAGAGTCTGGGTGGCCAGTAAATCCAATGTGACAGTCATGGTCTCAGCGCCATCTGCACCAGCTTCCCCCCTCTGAGGAAGGCAGAGCAAAGTGGAACCCGTGCGGCGGCTACCTGGGAAAAGGCTGCAGCGTTATCAGCAGCCACCCAGCGCTACGTTCCCCATCCAGGGCTCGAGCTAGGGTGCATGTTCTTACAGGGAGGAGGAGGAGGGAAAAATCACATTCAGGACTAAAAGAGAATAAAAATGACTTTCCCTAACTGCAACCAGTTTTTCTAAAAATAAATAGGGCAACACCCTACTCTCCATAAATTATTCTCCTCTGAACACAGAGCCATGTTCCAGAGACTGCAGAAAGCAGCTATTCGATTTTTGGAATTTTTTTTTCTTCAAACAAGCAACAGTAATTCAAGCTGGAACTAGAAAGACACTGCTTCCCACTCTACTTTTATTCATCCTTCCCTACTTATCCACCATCACACAGTGCTCATGGAGTAAGCATACATTTCAAAGGTCTTCTCTCCCTTTTCATGCCTTCAAGCTGAAATAAACTGAAAAACAGCAAGATAATCCAAACTTACTCTAGATAACTTACAGACGTCAATTCCTGGAGTTATAAAATATTCAAGCCACAATATCAAGTATTTAGTTTTCACTTCGTCTAGTAATCCAAGACCAATTATTTTGGATGTTTTATTATTAATGGATAGCATCAGAATAAATTCTGTTCATTTCAATTGGTTTGAAAAGCGCCAAATCAGTTCATTCAAGAGGGTGTACCCAGACCTCTGACATTAACCCAGCTGTCCTGAGCTATGTTTCAGGAACCTGACCTGCAGCGTTGCTGCACCTGGAATCGTCTCTGGTTTTGTCTAGATCGTGTTGAGGTTCCCATAGGATTTTACTGGATGACAAGGAAACATGAACCAGGCCAACTTCTGAGATAGTCCTAGGCAGCCTCTCTGTAAAGTTTATTTCAGCTTGGCCACCACCAGATTAAACTTCATTTGCACGGTGGATGCGTCTGAGATGTCATTTTATACTCAGGGTGATTGACAATTCATTCCATCTACAGCAGCAACAGTCTTAAAATTTACAACTCAAGTTTTATGACAGTTCAGTTCATAAAAAAAAAAGAATACTGGGTCTAAATCAATTTTGATGATCTGTCTAATAACCAAATAGAGATTATCTATTTGGTTAACACTTATATAGCAATTACTATGTGTCAGGCACTGTTCTAAATGCTTTATAGGTACTAACTCATACCCCTCATTGCTATTCCATGAGGAGGGCAAGGATTAGCTCCTAGTTAGGTAACAGAGGAGATGGGTCACAGAGAGGGTTAAGTACCCTGCCAAGACCATGTGGCAAATAAATGACAGAGCTGGGACTCCAAGACAGCCAGGTGGATGTGGATCTATATTCAAACCCTGTCCACTGAGGCCTCTTGATCCTTAGCAATATTTCATTTGGATGAATGGGAGTTTTTAGTATGATGGGGAAACATCTACGCATAACAAAATCGGAGGCCCTGAGCCCCAGGTCTCTCCTCTGAAAGATGCTGAGACCTTGTTCCTCCAGCTTCCATGGCTCCAGCAAGCAGAGGAGCAGAGCGAGGGGGAGGTCAAGCTGCCCCCTGCCCCACATTCCACCTATGATGGGGCCACACGGCACACTCTCCTCGGCCTTCATCACTGCTGTCTTTATTGGCCTAGAATGAATGGGGCTGAAATTAAAAAAAAAAAAACCATGAGGAGATGCAAAGGATGCCAGGCAGCAAGGATGCCCTTCAGCTCACTGGCAATACCAGTCAGCCTGGTAGATGGTCACTTTGGGGAAAGAGGGTCTGTTGAAAGATTAATTACTCCTCAAATTCAAATAGCACTACTGGCCCTCAGACAGAAGAACATACAACAAGACTCTCCCCATCATAGAAATAGGAAGGTATCACCAGTAAGGTCACAAGAGAACAGCATTGAAACACGTATATTATCTAGGGTGAAACAGTTCACCAGCCCAGGTTGGGTGCATGTGACAAGTGCTCGGGCCTGGTGCACTGGGAAGACCCAGAGGGATTGGGTGGAGAGGGAGGTGGGAGGGGGGACCGGGATGGGGAATACATGTTAAAAAAAAAAAAAAAGATACACTATGGTTGTGATAAAAAAAATAAAAAAAGAAGAAAAAAAAAAAAAACAGTAAGGTCACAAACCCTCTTTTTCAACCTAAAGCTCCTTTTGAAATCAATTTAGGTTTATAAGCTTCATCCAATCCACGCTAGAGCCCCAAGATTGGTTATAAATCTACCTGAGATTGTTCTCATAAAAGATCTGGGACTATTTCTCCTTTCAAACAACTTATAAAACACAATCACTTAATATTTAAGATATCTAGTTTCCAAGGAAAGTACTTCACTGCTTCTTCTGGGGTTTCCCACCTGAGCCTCATGTTTCCCCATGCTCAGGAGAATCAGGTGCCAGGCTGGCCACTGATTAGACAGGCACCAAAGGCCTGGAAGGTGGAAAGAGTCACCCAATATATAAAGCCAACTCAGTGGCCAGACCTAGACTATCACTGGAGCATCCTGACCCCCTAGGCAACTGCTTTGTTTCTCATATCATCTCAAATTTACATATGGAATCGTATGCATTCTCTCTTTAGACAGACTGATTTTGCTTTTTTTAAAGTTATGAATGAGCCCTACTTCACCTTGCTGTGAAAACCACAGGATTTCCTGGTGTTATAAGTTGATAGCTATACTATTATTTATTTGTATTTAAAATTATAGAGGTACTACACATCTGTAGACTGTAACATTCCAAATACTGACTTGCTTTCTGAAGAAAGTGGAGAAACCATGACCAAAGAAGGCAAATGGTCCGGGAGAAATAGATATGAATATGTAAACTCCAAATCTGCCCCACCAGAGAACATACAGTGGCATGCAATCTGTCTTTACTGAACAGTGTCAGAGGCCAGAGAGAAGCACTGACATAAACACAAACTTCTCTTTCCTCCTCCAGGAACCAGCCCTGTTTGGGAAGAATTTGGGAAGAATTCTGACCCTCAGAGCTCTGGGGAAGATTATTTCCTGGTTTGTTCTCTCTTGTCTTTTCTCTCAGAATATGGTGACATTACCAGTCCAGACATTATGGAGTAGTCACGCAGAAATGGCTCCTCTTTGTCAGAGACAGGACCAGAAATTACAAAGATGATTTGGCAGAACTGAGCAACACCATCCAGCCTTGAAGAGGACGGTAAGGTTTGTGACTTTGAGCCTCCTGAATTTCTAACCTAATTGAAAAGTGTATGCTCTAGCCAACTGCTTTTAGGTGCATTGCCTTTTACACATGTGATGCTGGCAATCAGCAACACACACCAAAATCTTACAATTCTCTCTGCATGCTTACCCCATGTTCAAAGAAAAACAAAAACAAAAACACATCAGAAGCCCAAACTAAAACCAGGAAGCTACCTGCTAACTTCTTCTGCAAGGCTTAGGACTGCAGTTTTGATTGGTGAGTCTTTTAGGAAAAAAAGAAAGGGGTTCATACTTCCTAAAATGGTTTCTAAAATACCAATCCAAGGAAATTAGGCATGGAAACATATGAAGGCAACCATGAAGCAAGCTATAATGAAGTTATATTCCATTTCCCAGTAATTATCTACTCTGTATCTTTGGTTAATTGTTCCTACATTTGATAAATTTGATATCTAAATAAGTCTATGTGTAAATCTATGACACTCCTATTTACTATGAAATTAACATATAGAAAGAATCCTCAACATTCAGATTATACTTCTGGAGTACAATGTTCTCTCCACTGTAGTTCTGTTTTACTTGAAGTTGCATGCCTTGTGTTATGCACCAAGATAGAAAATGTAAGGAAAGATGTGCTCTTGAAATAACTGCCTAATTTGATTAACTAGTAAGCACACAGCATCACAAGAAGGTTGAGTTTGCAAAAAAAAAAAAAAAAAAAAGGCAAAGTAGCAATGAAGGAAATTTTTAGGAAATCCCTACTAGTCAGTGCCAATTTCTGAAATATAACGTTGTCAAACAAAAGATCACATCATGAAGATCACTAAAAAAGGTTGGGGGGGAGCAGGGTGTGGGGGTGAGGGGAAGCCTGCAGCCCTTAGGAGGAGAAGAATCCTGAATGACTGGCAGATCAAGGTAGAAAAATTCAATCTATTCCTCCCTCAACTACCTCCAGGACCCAGCCAGAGGGATAAGGTTCTCCCCGTACCCAGAACAAGTTGCCCCTCTCTTTAAAAATGAAAAAAAACCTTCCTGGAATTAATAATAATAGAGGGTGGGCAAAAAAATTGAAGAGAGGAAATCCACTGTAACTTTTATTAAGCAATTTATATTCATTACATCAAAGACTATTTTCTTGCACTGACCTTTGCTCTGTCTGAAGTCTTTGGAGAGAGGGCTGTCTTTTTTTATACAGGATGGGAAGAAAGTGAACATTCATCTGAATGTGTTTAAACAGAAATAATCTAGTAATGCTGCAGTGTCTTCTCACAAAACTACGATGGGAAGCAGACATGGCCCTGTAGGTCATCAGCTCAGGTCTTCCATGAGAGCTACTGCCTAAGGGCTGCTGACCTCTGGGGTCAGAGACGTCACATCCCTCACTCCCCTGACTTTGTGCTTCCCAGGTGAGCAGCTCCACCTGACCATTGCCCAGACCCACAGCCTGTCTGGATCATTCCAGGATCAAGAGGGCACTGTTAAAAGTCATCTCTCGCTTTCCCCTAACCCTGATGGTAGGAAAATAATTCGAGACTTTAAAGAAAAGTCCGAATTTCTTCCCGACCGCTTTTCTCGCCTCATGGATTGTGAAATGGGCCCATTTTGGGGCGCACATTTTTAGTGCCACGTCTTACTAAAATTCTGTTTGCCCAGAGAATGTGGACGGATGTCTGTGTTTCAGGGGCCCATCGAGTACAATTTCTGGTGCACAGGTTTGCTACAAATTCACGAAGGGAACAGACCAAAGCTATTGGCGTTGTTTTCCGCTCGCCGGAAACCTCGGCGGAAGCGACACCTAGAGGGAAGCGGTGGCGAGGCTGCGGAAGCGCTATTCATCAATGTCGGCGACAGTGATCAGGAGCGAGGTCTGCTGGACAGCGCACCGGGGACCAACTCTGGGCTAGACGCAGACCTAGGCGGCCCAACGCTGCCTTGTCCCTAGGAGCTTACATAGACGGACACGCGGCACGGGATGCTCGCCACGTTCCGGGCATGGTGAGAAGCCCTACTGCTTCCAGTAGCTTTCTGCTCCTGCCAGAGGGGTGGGCGCCAAAGTCCTCAGGTGGCAGGCCTCAAGGGGCACCGCTTCGTCAGCTGAAGGCAGCCCCGAAGGCTCGCGCCAAGCTCTCCTTCCTAAACTCAAGGGGACACGCGCTCCCAAAGCGGAGTGCGCTCTGCCCGAGTCGCCTAGGTCCCCCCGAAACTTGGAACACGTTTTGTGCTGGCGCAAAGACGGGAGGGAGATCGCCCACATTACAAGCTCTTAGGACCAAACACGGTGCTTTAACACCCCCCAAACAAACTGCTTGCTACTGACTCCCCAGCAAGTAATACCGGCACTTGCTTGGAACAGCGACCGGCCGAGCGGAAGGGGAGTAGCCAGCTGCCCGAACCGAGTAGGGTCCCGGGTCTTTCCCCACCTCCTCCGCGGAGCCCGAGCGCTCAGTCCTGGACGCGGCGGCCCTCCGGGTTATGAGGGCCAGGCCCGGGCGCCGCTGGCCCTTTGAGCTACAGCGAGCAGGTGCCAAGTTTCCCCGCAAAGCTGGAGGAAAGAGGTAGTGAGAACGCCCGCCCCACGGCCCAGCCCCCGGTCAAGGGCACAAGTCCCAGCCCAGGTGCAACCGCGCTCCCCGAGGCCGCTCGGGATCCAGAGCCCAAGATCCGCACCTGCAGGGACTCGGAGCCCGGCGCCCGCTGCGGGCTCGGCCCGAGTGGTTCTGCGCGGTGCTCCGCACCAGCCCGGTCACTCTGGTCCCCACTGCAGACTTGCCACATGCCTCGGCGCCCCAGCCTTTACCCCGAGTCCTGGCTCCGATCGGGGTAGCCCTGCCTAGCCCGGGTGCGGGGGTCCCGTGCCCGCCTCCCCGCAGGCAGGCAAACTTAGCTCACCCGGAGCGGCGGTGAGGACAAGCAAGCACCCAGCCGGGCCCTGCAGGCAAACGCGGGGCCGCGGGCGCACGGATCCCAACGGGGTGCAGGAGGACCGGCTGGCGGCGGTGGCGGCTTGGCACCTTCCCCACGACTGCTCCGAAGCTGCGCCGCGTACCTGAGGCGGCCGGGGCCGAAAGGAAGACCAGGTGGCCGGACTCGGCGGGCGGGAGGGAGCGCCCCGTGGTGGCAGCGGCGACCCGGCCCCGCGTCCTTCGGTCGGTCTCTCTGGCTGTCGGCGGGTCCTGGGCGCGCTGGAGGGCTGTCGCGGCTCCAGCTCTCTAAGCCGCCGCTGCCCGCTGCTGTAGCTCCGCCGCGGCGGCTGCCCTATTTCTGCCGCCGGGACCGGAGCCCGTGACGTCACCCTCCGGGCCCCGCCTGCCCAATCGCCGCCACCTGTGCGCGCCGCCCGCCCGCCGCTCAGACCCGCGCGGGGCCCGTGGCAGGTGCGCGGAGCAGCCGGGCGCGCACTCGGGGTGGGAGGGCTCGGGCGCTCCGGGGCGATCTCTGCAGTCGCAGGGGGAGGGGATAAGCTCCCCGCCCTGGCTCTGTGGATCCCTGCAGGCAACGAGCCCTCCCACCGGCGGCCCCCAACACACCCCTCCTCTCCTCTTCTCTGGCTCTTGTCCCGGCGGGGCTCCTGAAGGCTGTGCTCTCAAGATGCGCGGCTGCTCTTAATCAGCTGCCATAGCTTGTGCCGCTCCAGCGGGCCGGCACACCGCACCAAGAGAGCTGTCCCTGGAGGCAAAGTCAAATAACACTCCCCCTTGCTGAGTACCAACAACCGGCCAAATAGCGAAGTTTTCCTCTCTTTCCGAATCTGCCTTCTATCACTGCAGAATCTTACGAAATCATACGCATACAGAGGCAGTCCCAGGTGACGTTTGCCTAGCCTGGCCAAGGTCTGACCGGAGGGTCCTTTCTTTTCCTAAGCTTAGAACGAAACATGAGGCCCAGAGCTCGCCTCCAAGCCTGGCGCTCCCAAACCTTTCTGGATCCCTTCTCAACGTCTACAGCTTTTGCAGACCACAGTCCAGTGATCATATTGTTTTCTTTAATTGGCCTAAAGATCAGTCTTGGTGACCAAATAAACTGGAAACTTTGTAACAACTAGCCCCTCCCCCCACCAATGGTCATACTGTGGGTCCAGGGTGGCATTAAACTTAGGAGGGAGACTCCAGCCAGACAAGTCTGGTGGTAACTAGACCAGTTACCTGATGGGCAGAAGCCTTTGAGGGTTGGAGGGGGGATTCTGCTCTGGCTGTGTGGGCAGCAGGTGATGCCCTGGCATGGGGGAAAAGTGTCTTGTTCATGCCTCTGTGGTCTTTCCTGGCCTGGAGGAGGGGTAGAGGGGCTTTTCTGCTGTTAAAGTTAGTTAAATATCAGGAGAAGCGAAACTGACATGGAAGAAGAGCTCTTATATTTGTTTGTTCCTTCTACAGGGGCTCGTCGTGTCTATCAGGCACTGTAGGAGGTGCTGGGGAGACTGCAGTGGATGGGCCAGCATGGTCCCTGCCCTTACACAGGTTTAGTTCTGGGATGCAGCCCTCCCTCTATTAACACTCAGCTTGTAACCCAGAGCCATTTGTATTTCTGCTATTGGTATGTTTCCCCATCTGTAAAATGAGGACTTGGAGGAAATCTGGGTGACTTCCAGGTCTCACTCTGCTGTGACTTCTCCCCTGGATACCATGATTTGTCCTCAGAAGCATAAAGGCTGCTCCACCTTCCATGCCCCTGGCCTTGGCAGGCATGATGCTCTCTCAGAATTGACCATGAATCTTTGCCAAGGCCACCCATGACTGAAACTCCAAGGCTGGCTTGAGGCCAGACTCTCTGCAGCCAGACCAGGAAAGGGACAGCACTTTTCATCGTGGGAAAAAGAAGATGAAGACGGCATGTAAAAGGAAGCCAGGAAGTTTGGAAACATGTTGAGCCCCCTCTGAAGTCAGTGGCCAAGATAGAGTCCCCACAGCCTGGAGGCTGGGTTCAGCCACCTTCCCAGACTTTGAGGTGTTCGGAAAAGCCAGTTTCTGTTCTCAGCTCTGAACACAAAGTCCCTGAGTCAGCCTAGTGACCCTATTACATAACCAAGGCAGGCCTTGGGGTATGTGTTTTTTAATAACTCAGGGTCATATGTAAGTCAGGGTCTGTAGATCGACTGAGATCAGAAATAGCTCCCTTTAATGCAGGGACTGGACTTCCATAAACTTCCTCCACTTCCCACAGAAGCAAGGAAATATAGCTGCTGCAAATCCGATGTTCGGAATATCCCTTAGAGATAATGCTAACATCTGAAGTGAGCTATTGTGACTACTGTGCATAAAATAAGACTGGAATTAAAAGTCACCTTGGAATAAAAAAGGTGAAGTGTGAATGACGAAATAAAACAAGTCTTCAGGGAGGCAGCATCAGATGCCAGAAGACCTTGACACTTCTTCCAGTTGCTCTATGCTTTCACCTCTCAGGGCAATTCTTGGTTTAATAATATTCTCCAACTTGGGAAATGGGCTAGATTTTACACATAGAATTTCAGAATTTGCCTGAAATCTTGTTTCAGGACTTGCAAGCACACTGATGATTTTCAGTAGCCAACTGTGATGCTTAAACGTTGAAATCATACAATTCAGCAAGTTTGAAAGGAAAAAGTTAAAAGGCAACATAAAATTCAGATTACTTCCCAGGCAGACTCAGACACACAAGAGAAACTTATCAGTGTGTGTGTGTGTGTGTGTGTGTGTGTTTTACCAGATCAGGAAGTTTAAAAATCCCCAATATGTATTAGGGGTTTTACTTTGCCAGTTTTAAAACTTTTTTCTGTCTCTAATCTTACCAAAACCACAACCATATGACCAAAAACTGCTGCCAAATAATGGTGTCTCCTACAGGTGATTTCAGATTGCAGCTGCACATTAGATACCCAGAGATGACACACAGCTGTGGGGATCAGAAGGATCAGATTCTACCAAAAGTTACTCTGTCCCTAGCTTTGGGTCAAGTCCACCTTGGGCAAATCAGATAGTCCCCAGAAATACTCATTAGAAGCCAGACCAGGAGGTCACACTAGAAGGTGGGAATAGGCAGGAAACAGTATTCCTTGTCTTGCATAATTTGACATTCTGCTTCCTCCCCAGAAATGTCTTAGTAAATCTTCAAACCACACTATGTAGTTGATTGAAGAAGCAGTCTGGATCTTAGGAGAGCCCTGGTCAGAGAGGCAAAAAGACTGGGTCCCTGGCCTGCCTCTGTCCCTCTCTGGCTGTGCGGGTCAGGATGAATCCTACCTTTCCTTGGCTTGTTTCCTCAGCTCTTAAGAGGGGGTTTGGGAGAGGGTGGAGGGGGAGGCAGTCATACTCAGTGAGCTTCTGAGAGCATTTTCAATTCTGCAAGTCGATGCCTTTATTTTGCTAGAAGTTAGGCCTACTCGGATCTAAAGCTGTGACATGAAAGGTTTCCCTTAAGTCTAATATTAATTCTTAAGTGATGATTCATTGTCATCTAGAAGTTAAGGCAGTGGAGGCACCAAATTCAAAATCCTAGACCTAAAATCACACTCAGAAATAATTATTTTATACTCTGATTTAGGGAGAAAGGGAGTCAGCATGGAGATAAGGTATTCATTTGGGAGAGAACTGATTTGGGAAATTTTTCAAGGCAATGAATTGATATAGGGTTGGAATTTTAATTAAGAAGGTGGGATGAATGAGAAGATGTAGTGATGGAAAGGGAATTGTGACTGGAGAGAGCGGAGGGAGATGAGAACCAAAACCCTTCACCATAGTACTGTTCCAGAGACAGAAGTCCCACCGAACTCCCAGGGCCCAGATTGATGGTACAAGGGGCCTAAGAAAGGCACTGATGACAAGAGGAAATGAAGCTCAGCTACTCTCAGAATTCCATGCACACAGGGACCATCTGGGATGAGAAGGCCAGGCCTCCAGGCCACAAAAGCAGAGTGTGTACTAGGATTAGAAAGCAAGGTGAAAGAGGCAACGCAGTAGGAGAGCCAAGGGA